ATAAGTATTATATTTATATACATTTGTTACATTTCAATTACAAGCAAAGTATAATTGTAATTTTGAATTGTAATTAATATATAAGTACATTATTATGTTATATTTGCTATTATTGATTACATTTGTTGTGACTTTTTTGTGATGCAGGTGTAGGAGTAGAGTGAGACAAGAGTAAGGTATATAGAGTGAGCCTAAGAGTACAGGACTGCCTAGAGTAGATAAGATCAAGACTATAGGACCAGTCTGATCTCATACATGTATATATACTAAACTATACAAAGGCACTCAGGGAATAATAAGTCATGAGAGATAAAGGAAAAAGGGTCAAGGATATACAGACAAAGACTGAAGGACTAAGGAGGAAGGGGTAAAACTCAGGGTGAATAAAAGAATGATAGTAGAGGTCAAGTAGAATAGGAATAGGGACAATTGCATAAGTCAACCTGCATATAATCAACATATTGTACACTCAAGATACACAAGTCCTGAGTTCTGTCAGAACTGACAGTTCCGAGGGCGCAAAGCGTTGGGTCATAACAATAAGGATAAAGGAGTGTGGATTCTATATGATCGTACGGTCATCAAAAAAACCAAACACAAAATGCTTACAGGTGACTTGAATGACTCTGATGAGCAAGTACAGTAGTAGTTAAATGTCATCCTTGGCAAAAGAAAAGTGATAATGAAAAGACAGGTCATGCATATCCTAAAACTCTATAGCGTCTCGGATGGCCCGGGGGTGTGGACACAAGAAATAGTTGTTCATCTGCAATGTGGGTCCACAATTTTCTACGGTCAGCCGAAGAAAGGGGAGAGTGGCCATTGATGTCAGTCAGATAACCGCAAACTTTCAAATCATCCCAACGTGACTCTAACATTGTGCATAAAGCATCAATGCATTCACGAAAGTCCCCTACAACGTAGTAATTCCAAAACAACTCAAAGCATAGCAGATCGGGGCATATGATTCGATTATTCCTATCCCAAGCATGATAACCCGTACTCGCTCCGCTTGGTACGGTAAGAAGCTCGAAGAGTTCTGCTGAAATAGTGCCTTGACTCAATACGAGTGTCTGAAGCAGGGGAAGGAGTGGAAGGATGGACGTAAGTGTCGCCGCTTCTACACAACTGACGTTCAACGTGGTTAACGGTGGTAAGGAGCGTCGAATAAAGCCCGTTAGGTCACCACCATTTCTGGAAGCGAAGGTGAGCTTCATTAAGGCAGGGAGGACCAGTTTATCCATTATTATGCGTGATGCAGGACCCTTCAGAACAATGCTCTCGAGGCTATGCGAGACGACAAAACGCTCCATTTCGTCAGTCGGTCCAAATCTACTGTCAATAAAAACTTCCTTCAAATTCGGCGCCGCCTCGAGAAGCTTACGGCATTGTTGTAGATCCAAATAAGAATAAAGTGATTGTAGTGAAGTTATCATTGACTTGTCTGCAAATTCGAGAGACAACGGGAACCTAAGTTCCACATACTCAAGCTTTGAAGCCTGTGCCAGATTGAGACTTAGCCAGGAGACGCCGAAAATTTCCAATTAAATTGGACTTTCTCCCAGTGCCATTGGTGAGAAATCAATATACACACAACGCGTTCAGCTACCCAATGATGCACTAGATTTCGGTTGTACGTGAGATCACATCTGACGATGAGGTCAAGTGGTGCACCATTGGACCTGCGAAGCCATGTTTCGAAATATTCGATCAACCATCCTCGAGCTACGCCGTTGATGTAAATATTTAGGAACGTCCAGAGAACTCTGAGTGACAGTGAGACATCACGCCAATGTCAACAAACGCTCGAAATTGTCACTGGTACCATGCATTCCCATCTTTGACGCGCATCGTGATCACATTTGAGAAAGATGTCGCAGAGTACCTCCACTGGGAAGGAATTAATGCCAATCGGGTGGAAGTCCATCTAGAAGATATGTTGAACACGGTGGCCCACGGCGCAAGGATAGACAGCCTTCTGTCTTGCAAATTGGGTCAAAGCAAAGTGATGGAAGGAGTGTCAATAAACGTGCGCCAGTAATATATAATGTCAATGACGAGGCGAGAGCTGGGGAGGGGTGTTCCGAGACAAGAGAATTAGAAAGAGCACGTTTTATATCTTTACTGCGTTATGTAAGCACAGACAATTGGTAATTCAGGCACGTTGTTACGTCGTTATAAAATTCGTTCTTCTTTCGGTGTTTTCCTTTTTCAACGAATGTCTTTGATCTATCTATCAGTAACGCAGCGTGTATTATAATGGTTCCAACCTGTCGTGCCTTCCAGTAAATGACCTGGACGGGTAAGTCACTAAGTGATAACTTTCCAAACATCAGTTCTTGCTAATGATATTGCTCCTGCCCGATAGAACAGGATTCTAACTATATCTAGCCTATAGATAAAGTCTGTGTCGGGTTATTCAGCATTGTCAAGTTAGATTCTACTTCGTCAAATCCCGAGCGAAATCCAAGATGTCCTTCATAACTTCATTCGGCTTCTCCAGAAAAGGAGCGTGACTAGCCCCTTCAATCACTTTCACCTTCATGTTGACAAACACAGGGCGAACGATATCCACCATCTTCTCGCCGGATATGTACGCATCATGCGTCCCATAAATGACCAACAACGGAAAGCCGCTCCTCCCGAGTTCGATGATCTTCGTGTTGTCCTGCTGACGACTGACAGCGAGGAAACGGTCCTTAGGAGACATATACATAGCCATCCCAACAAGCGCACAGCGCGTCGCATACGAGACGTCCGGATTCTCCTCATGGAAATCTGCACCGTTGGCAATCGCCTCTGCAGTCTTCCGAAGGAAGTCGGAACTCGGATTAGGGTCCCTCAGAAATAGAAGCCTATTTGCTGCAACGACTGCCTGCTGCTCAGCAAGCACATCGGTATTGGTGAGAAGACCTTGGACGAGCGACTTCATTGCAGCGGTTGAAGTGTCTCGCATTTGTTCGTTCGAGTAGGGCGAGCCAGCTAAGCATACCACACCGAGGAATGTGTTTGGGGGAAGGTATGAAGCGATATCTGCCATGATTCTTCCACCCATACTCCTAAGGTTAGAATTCGTCTTAAGTCCATGGTACCAAAGTTGTAAGTGAGCTTACCAGGCAACGAAAATCGGCTTCTTGACATTAAACGCCTGAAGAATAGCTTTGACTTCTTCCGCATATCTCTGAGACGCATGTCCTTCAGGCTCGCTTGACTTTCCACTCCTCCCGAATCCTCGCACATCATAACGAACCTAAGAGCTGAATCTCAACAACTGAGTTTAATTCAATAAGGTCCTCATTAGTACTCGCCAAGTAGAATTCCTTCGAATTATCAGGATTCGAGAATATGTCATCAAAGACAGCAGCACTAGACGAGAACCCATGCACGAATACCAATGCCGGATGAGCGGAATCGCCTACTGCATCTGCATAAATTTTCGTGCCATCCGCCGAATGAACGAATTTCCGCAATATTTTGTTATGCATAGCGGATAGAATGATGTACAGTTAGTTATAAGGTTACAACCAGGTTGGACCTTGCCAATTTATAAGACAAGCTATGCAGTGTCTATGATGGCAGATGAGGAAGGTCGATGTTCCCTTCGGTCATTATTGGTTCACAGCGAAATTTCTCACAGGGTACACGCATTGGTTCGGCAGATAATCTTATTGCTGAGTTGACGCAGGAAGTGTTTCAAAACAGATGCTACTTGTCTGAAGTTGCACCGCGAAATATTACAGGTAGCCCATTAGTTATCTCCGCTTTCTTATGTTTTACTCCCTCCGAGACTCCATTGATCGTATGATGATCCGTTTCTCACGAAAAATCACAGCAAATTAGCAAATATCTGTACGAAAACAGAAAGTCAAGGTCAAACGTATATTACCATAACCAAACGCGAAATTGGGAAATATGGGAAAGTATCTTCGATTCCTTCAATAAATGTCATGCTTTTTGTCGTCCATTGTTATGTCAACTGTCCAATATTAGGGTAATCTGTCTAGGATTTGTCGCCTTCGGACAACGCCCACATATAATAGACACCTAGCAAGTAGCAAAACATCAACACACCAAGTATCTTTGAGATAAAGAAAAATAAGGTACCTATACTCCTGTATGGTTTCCACGGCTCGGTAAGCTCCTCCATCTCTTTCGGGGTCAAGAAAACTCCCCTGGGTTAATGTGTTGAAATCGGAACGTTACACGAACGAAACCACAGAATTGACGACGTACTTTTTCTGTTTCTTCCCTTCCAGACGACTCTGCAAATCCTTAACAGACAGGCCCTCCGGAAGAGATGGCGGATGGAACTTATTCGGTAACACTTTATTGAGAGTCCTATTGATCGAAGGAGTAAATGCAGGGGGTGGAGCTGGAACTTCCGGGTCCTCTCCAGAGTTCTTAGAACCTTTCCGCCCTTTAACAGGTGTAACAGGAGCAGGCGGGAAAGCCGCAGCATCTGGCGTCGAAGCTCTCTCAGGCTGAGGGTTCTCCGGCATAACCACATCTTGTGACTCAATCGCGCTGATATTATTGTTCGTTTCTTGTGATTCTCCTTTATCTTTGTCGTAATTACTTGGAAGTTTTTTCGGGGAAATCGCAACTGGATGTTTGGCTGAGTGTAAGGAGAGGAACCATCGGACTACTCCACGCTGAACGCCGAGGTCGCCTGGTGTACAAGTCCCATTATTTAGACAAATTCAGCGGGCTGTAAGGATGACTTACCAACTGGCATTATATCTGGACGCCTTAGTGAGAAAATAGCGAACATGTCCACTTATATCGCCCTCAGTCTGAAAAGCACACGTCATGTACTAATTGAAAGAACTAACCTGTCCACTAAATCGGCGAATTTTAGTTCACAATTTAATCACGGCAGAATTATTATGATCCACCTTTCCAATCCCACGAACAGCCGTAAGCATCTCATAAAGCTCTTCATCGTTAGCTTGCATTATCTTTTCATTCGATAATCTGCCATCCGCAAATCTCGCAGCCAAGTCTTGCACTATAAACAGAGCAGATAAGTAACGTAACGTCCAAAGCGTGCTATATAAGCACCAAGATCACCCATTCACATACCATACTCTGCTTTACGTCCGCTAAGTCCAGCAGTCCTCAGCGTAGCAATATCCTGAGCAACCACCTGATGTGCAGAAGGGAAGAACGAATCTGGGTTACTTGTCGATCTACAGACGAGCGAGTTCAATTTCCAACGTCAATTTCAACGAGTAAAGCAAAAATAAAACTGGTAAGTAAGGATACGCACCCTGAATCGGTTGGCTTTTCAGGTAACGACGGGTCGAATAACCGAATGAACCTGTGAACGATAGAGCGCGCTGCGAGCCACGAGATTTGTTGGCCTCTGTTATAGTCGCTCCAGTCAGTAATAGCATAAAAGAAAGTATCTTCGATGTAGTACTAACAATATCGAAGTAGCCAAAGTCCTAAAGTAAAGTAGTTACATCTCAATCCACGACTATCACTAATCATGGGTATCAATATCTAGGTGACTCACCGGAAAGGATCAACCCGCTCCAAATGTTCAAAAGGCCTACACTTCAGTTTACTAAACAAATCTTCAAATCGCGGATCCACAGAAACAAGGTGCTGCTTCGCATCTTCAAAAGAAAAAGACAAGACTGCTGGAAGGAAGGTTGCCGGGGTTGCCGGAACTTGAACAATCGCTGGAACAATCGGAGTAGCACTATTCGCGCCATTTTCTGCGTCTCTAGCAACTTTGGCTGCCTTCTTAGCTCTTGATCCTCTTGCCTTCTTCACAGCACCATTTGATACTTCCTCCTTCGTCCTAGGTTCAGCCTTCCGTTTTCCACCAGAAACAGGTGGGTTATTAGCTGCAGTCGAACTTTGTCGACTTGCAGAACGCGTAACAGGCATAGTACTACACCCTGGCCCTGCCCTCCTTGCTAGGAGAAGTAAATGTGGTAGTTGTGGTACGAGTATGATGGGAACGTGAATTTCTGTGGAGACGCGACGCGTATTCAATTTATTATTTGTCTTTGTCACTGTCAGACACGCGAGCGCGCTGCGTGTTTAGCCCGATCATTGGATCGACGCACACTCTGACTCACGCTAATCCAATGGCTGCGGGATTTATGTAGATCAAAATTCATGTAGTCATTCGGGCAATCGTATAAAAGTAAAACTTCTTCCTATGCTGAGTATCCGTCAAGTACAGAACACTACCTTAGCACCATTATCCCATCCTCCACCACCATGCCGATGATACAGACAAAGAAATTTTCATGTTGTACAACTAAGCTAAGTACACACAGTCTCACATAAAAGAAAAGTAAAGTAAAGTAAAGTAAACGATTGCGTGTACATGTCTAAAAGTTTGCGAGACGAGGAAATCGGAAACGACCACTTGTACTATCCACTATTGAGAGAACCTTTTACAACTGCGGACCAGCAGCGCGCACACTCGCATCAACATCACTCTCATACACCGCAAACGCCTTAACGAACATTCCCGCAAGCTTCCTCACTTCCCTCTCGAATGCCTCTTTATCCGGCCACGCAAGTGTAGGGTTCAACAACTCACGTGGAACACCAGGAATCGAAGTCGGGATGTCCAAGTTGAACACACCGAACTTCTCGTATTCCGCATTCTTGAGCGAGCCATCGTGTACAGCGTCAACGATCGCGCGCGTAAACTTGAGCGGGCAGCGACGACCTTGCGGCGAACCGAAACGTCCACCAGTCCAGCCGGTATTGATCAACCAGCAAGACACACCATGTTGAGCCATGCGGTCTGCAAGCATCGTTGCGTACTTGCTCGGATGGAGAACAATGAACGGTGCTGAGTAGCAAGTGCTGAACGTCGGAATCGGCTCGAGGACACCATCCTCGGTTCCAGGCGTCTTGCTCGTATAGCCTGCAAGGAAGTGATAGCTCGCTTGTGCTGGCGTCAAACGCGCTACAGGCGGAAGCACACCGAAAGCGTCGCAGGTAAGCATGATAATATTTGACGGTTGACGCTCAACGAGGCACGGTACACGCGCGTTCGGAATGTATTCGATCGGATAGGCGCAACGTGTATTCTCCGTGATCGAGACATCATCGTAGTCGGGCTTGCGTGTTACTGGATCGTAAACGACGTTTTCAAGGATGGCACCGAAACGGATAGCATTGAAGATTTCGGGTTCCTTTTCAGCGGATAAGCCAATGCACTTGGCGTAACAGCCGCCCTCGATGTTGAATACGCCACGGTCGCTCCAAACGTGCTCATCATCACCAATCAGTTGTCGACGAGGATCAGCACTCAACGTCGTCTTCCCCGTACCGCTAAGGCCGAAGAACAGAGTAACGTCACCCTTCTCGATACCAACGTTCGCAGACGAGTGCAGCGACAGTTGTCCGAACTTGACAGGCTGAAGATAATGCATAACGCTGAATACACCTTTCTTCATCTCGCCCGCGTATTCCGTACCGAGGATGACCATTTCCATGCGCTTGAAGTTAATCTCGACGGAGGTCGTCGACGACATGCCCTTCGTGAAGCGGTTCGCCGGGAACTGGCCAGCGTTGTAGATGATAAAGTCGGGTTCGCCGAAGTTGGCAAGCTCTTCCTCAGTCGGTCTGATCAACATGTTGTGCTACGTAACATTAGACAAGTCCGTTTCGGAGAAATCGAATCGACATACCATGAAGAGCGCGTGGTACGCTCGGGCACAGACGACGCGGACCTTGATGCGGTAGCGCGGGTCCCATCCAGCATAGCCATCAAAGACATATACGAGGTCCCGAGTGTTGAGATAATCGATCGCACGCTCGCGGTTAATCTCAAACGTATCTACAGAATCAAATTCAGCCAAGAACCAAAGCAAAGAATGAAATAACCTACGCTCGTCCATCTTGATATTCACACTTCCCCACCAGATATTGTCACGGCTAGTCTCCTCATACACAATTCGCTTGTCCTTCGGGCTACGACCAGTCTTTTTGCCAGAGAAATTGATAAGCGCTCCAGAGGACGAAATAATAGCGCCCTCATTGCGGATCGCATCCTCGTAGAGCTGTGCAGGCGCGGCATTGCGCTTCAGCGTCAGCTTTGACATGTCAAAGCCTGCCTGCGAGAAGTACTCGATATCTCGGCCGATGACTACCGAACATAATCATGCGTTAGCGGATATTTCGCCACGAGAAAAGTCCGGAAAACAAGCAAGAGAGCCAAAAATACAGCAATGTCAAGTCCCGAGCCGAACAGGGAAAATGACACAAGCTGACGTAATATTTGAAATGGTCTGCTTAACAAGGAGCTGGCACGGCCGCATACAGCCAGCCCACTCGAGACGATGTGCGGCAGGTGCATTGCCCACTGCAGCGGATAGCAAATTCACCAGTGCGATGACATCAAGCCAAGCCCGATGCAAATGTAAGGGACGGGGGACGAAATCAGGTCACGCGAATGAATAACACGGGACGGGTCATAGCCGTTTATCGGAGAACGGCCGTCCGCATCGCCCGTCGCGCGAAAGCGACGAGTCGAGACGAAACAACAGCGAGGAATACGGACGAATAGATGAGGAGGGAACAAACTACTCACGATTCACGGTCGTGTCAAGTCCGGGGGTCTCTGCATAGCTCTTGTGCAGAATGTGGGGCGTCACGTAAGGCGTACCAAGCTGACGGTGCAACATTTTGTCTTTTGTCGTCGGGTTTGTAGTGCTACTAGAGCTCGTTGGCGATAAAAGCGGTGGAGTTACTGGTGCTGATGAACAAAAGAGGTTATGTCTTTGAGCTGCGTTGTTGAGCGCAAGGAGACGGAGATGGGTGCGGTGAAGCTGGAGAGCAAGAGCAGGAGTGGAGTCAGCTTCTGACGACGTCGTGGTTGGCAGCTGATTTCGCGTCGAGCGGAGCTCGCGCGATAGAATATAATAAAAGTGGATAGGAGGGGAAGAGGGGAATGGTCACAGAGTCAGAAGACCAGGGGGGAGTATATAAATTAAATTTATGAAGCGAGTGGCACGTAAATAAAACAAGTGAAGCGTCTCATATAATATCGGCATTAGCCAATGGACATCGTGGGAGTGCATGCCCGGATTGGAATGAGACTGCTCTGTATTGGCAGGCGGAAAGAAGAAAACGTGGAGACGATCGGAGTGGCTAAACTTACCCGCTGTGTAACTTGAAGTTGGTGATAGTTTGAGGAGAAGAAGAAGGTTGCAGGCGACGAACGGTGGAGGGTGCTCCTTATATGCGTTTGCATCCCATGATACCCTTCTCTTTATACCCCTTCGTCTGCTCTGTGCCCAGGCGCGATGGAGCACCGTCGCCCACAGCTCTCAAGGTAGCCTGTCCCGGTCTCTCCCGATCAGCACCAATCTTGCGCAAAACAAGCGCGGTCCGGCCGTCTGATATCGATTTGGAGTCTGTCTATCTCTACTCTTCTATACTCGCTGTCGAGGACGTCGAACGTCGACCACGACAGCCGTGCGGACGGATGATGGTGGGTTTGCGCAAAATTCACATAAAGCCGCCAGCCGAACGGAGTATATTCCTCAGGTCTCCCAGCAGCCATCTTCTGCGCGCAAAGCAAACGTATACGTGCTCTCGTCAGTCACGACACCTCACCATCCCCTCCGGACACTGTAATTTACCTCAAGACCCCAGATACCATTTTGATCTAGACATTCCTTGTGGCAAAAATGTTGATGCTTTACGGACCATAGCCTGTTCTGGATTGTTCTGCCTCTTCAGTGTTTGCACAGCTTCAGCTCGCTCGTCTCGCCACATTTCGGACTGCATATTCATAGCGGGGAGCCGTTACTTCTACTCTGCATTTGCGATTCCCATAGCGGCCCGACGTCGACGCAAGGTATGGACGTTTGCGGAGATCTCGTTCTCAAGACGACTCACGAGATTTCACTGCACTGTACTGGAACTCATAGCTACACGGCAGGATCAGACTTAGGATACCCCTAGTGACGTCTCCTAGTCTAACTTTGGCTTATTCATGTGAAAACTCTTGCGATCTAAGTATTCAAACCAGTCCTTTATAGAGTTACTGACAAATGTAACAATGCGATTTTGGCTCAATGGACCCACGCACGCATATACACACAAATGAATCGGCCGACCCCACGATGAACACTCAGTCGGCAGGTCAAGCCGTCACTTTCTCTCGGAGAATACATGTATTATTCCGCAGTCCCGTCGCCCGGTGCCAGCTCATTCCGTCCCTCCGTTCTCGGCTTCTCACACATCTCTTCCTCGGTCTCAGTACGGATTCGGTGTCCTGCATCCGGGCCTCGACCATTTCACATGGAGTCGCTGGAGGTATCCTTAACAAGGTTTTCGTGTAGAAGAGCCATATTGTCAATATTCTCTGTCAATAATGAAAGTACATTTCCCTTTGATGAATATAGTATGCAATTCGTGTATACAGCAAATATAAACAACCCGGAGAATACAATTGTAATCGATGAGCAGAATTTCCCCGGTATCATGCCTAAACAATATACAGAATTTTATTAAACGGAACATTGTTACTTCAATACCATAGTGTCTTACACACGTACAAATGCTTATCAGCATATACACAATTAAACTCTGTTATTCAAACTTTATACAGAAGTAGAAGACACGAATCAAATTGTAGAACATCTAGCTCTAAATCATACATCGATACAAATTACAAATTACTCCACTAAGTACCGAATCCACGAAATCCCCATAATAAATAAACGCTCTTTCAGTCGTCGTCGTCGTCGTCACTGTCATCACCACCTTCTTCCGTAATCTTGATAGTAAGAAGCTTTACCACTCCGTCAATTGCAATGCCTGATTCGCGAGACAAAAGAAAAAGTGAGAACGACTTATATAAAAGCCAGAATATCGCAGCCGCACGCACCGTGATTGATGTTTTGTGTCCCTTCGGGTAAGAGGCCCTTAAGGTTTCGACTTGTCGTAACGTACGTCGTACCGTCGAATTTCGTGGGTTTGGCAATCGCCTTCTCGACAATCTCATCGCTATGTATCAAATTAGGTCGTGTCTCGTTTACCTTCATAAAGCAGATTTCTTACCGTCCTTGGTCATAGCCATCCGGCGAAACAGTGTGATGATCCTTGAGGTCTTCTTCCTTCGACGCTCTGGACACGCAGATATTGAATGTCAGACGGAAATATTTAAAAAAAGTCGATACTCACGCTAGGAAAAGCGCCCCAGTATTTGCCTCTGGTCCATCCTGACGGAACACTCTGCAGAGGTCGAGGTCGAGGTCATCAACAGACCACCTTTTATTTTGAGGCGAACAATAAATTACCCCACCTGAAATGATTTCCACCAATAAACGTTTCCAGACATGTACCAACATGTGCATGGCCGTACATTTCACGGAACTCTGCAGTCTGGTTCTTCCACTCGTTTCCATCACCCAGGTTAGCTGCGAAATATCCACCCCCGTGCTGTTTAGCACATTCATATGAACTGTTGTGAATGACCGTTATGAGAGCTTGTTCTACTCATGTTGTTGGTGTAATAGAGTACACTCACAACCCAACTGATCGCGCCCAGTTTAAAATACCCTTGTCCGTTAGGACCTTCGGTGAACTTAAACCTGATATAATGATCTGTTGGGAACCAGCATTTGTTTTAGCACCCGTAGAAGCATGCAGGATTTAGAACACTCACGTTCAGAGGTTCTCCATACCCATTATTCGAGCTAAGTAGTTGGTAGCCACCACCCCAGGCTGGAGGGTAGAATCCTGCAGGTTTAGGAGTCGAAGCAGCCCAACAACATTTGCCGACAAGCAAACTAGCGACCGCTATACGCGTGAGGCGGCCTTTCGTAGAAGTAGAACGGCGCTTCATTGCCTACTTGCGGTTCCCGTCAATTGCTTGCAGGAATGCGAAGGACTTGAACGAAGCGATACAAAGTGATCTTTGGGGACCGGAAAGTGCCAAGATGGTCATTGTTATACGAGCAACTTGAGCGAGTTTGCGTTCACGTTCGGTTTGCTTGAAGGAGGGCGCAAGTTACGGATGATGTGAACGAGCAAAAATATATGAATATGTTGGTGAGAAATACGGAGCGCGTCTAACAGCACAGGTAGTCTCAATAGGAAAAGATGCAAAATGCCAAGACAAGGCGGCATCGGTTTTTGAGCAAACAATGTCCAGATACGGTCGTCAGCACATCTCTGATTCCACACCTTTGAGCAAAGCTGAGGTGACCATTCTTATACAAGTCGAAGAGTCAAGCTACCTATCACTAGCGACGGTTGAGTTATCAGGAACAGTAAACTGTGTATGCAGATCTGGAATCGAGTTGAGCCAGCCACTCAAGTCGGAAGAGGTCTTCTACCACATAATTTTGCGGAACTATGATCCGGAAGCGAGATACCATCTCACGTAGCATAAGTACTTTGCAATTTACGTTCCTTACTCACGTACATACCCCTGAAGGCATTCTTCATGAATCACTTCGCAGCAAAACTTCTCATACGGAAGGATTAATACTCATCATTCTAGCTCATGATATGAGAATAAGAGATATACTCATTCGTCCCATCAACGTAACATTAGGCGCTTAAGTTAACATGAAGGCACTATTAGCCATTGACAAACGAACGAAACTCACCTGCTAACTAATTGTGCGCGATATCGACACCAAATTAGTTAAAGGACGACATAAAAATAACTCTGCAATGTTTCGGCGCAAGTGCAGAGCAGGCGGCATGTGAAGCATTCCTCTCGTCATAGCCAGGACGGTGTTCAAGCAAAGCGCAAAGACAAGTGTTTTCTTGTAATACTCCGTATGCGACGTCCAGCGCCTAGCTATACGTCTTAAATGAGAGAGACAAATAACCAAAGAGTAAAATTGCTAGACGAGAGCTTAGTTGAGCCAGGACGATATTCGCAGGATTCGAGGACAAAGGGTATAGCGCAGCAAGGAAGTTCATTCACTTTTCTTTTTCATTTCATTTTCGTGTTTTTCTATCTGCTTTTCAGTGCTAGCGGTGTTCAATAGATTGTCACAGTAAGAAGCTTGACAATGCCATCTTGAGCAATTCCTGTGGAATTTTTGCACTTTAGGTGGTGTAATTGTTATAATGGAAGAAATATTACCGTGATTAACTCCGGAGCTTCCAGGAGTGAGTAGACTTGATAAACTTTCTGATGTTGTTGAATATGTCACATCGCCGAAGCTTGTTTTTCTACTGGTTGCGGACGATACCAGAGCGTCCCTAAGAAAATGATGAGTGGCAGCAATGAGAAATAGACGAGGAATATCGAGCGCACCTGCCAGCATTGTATCCATCTGGCGAAATTGTATGTTTCTTAGAGACATTCTCTTCAGTAGACACTCTAGAAAGGTATATTAGCAATAGGAGACAAATTTAGGGTCAGCCAACGTACGCAAGGAATAGGGCTCCACTATTTGCATTAGGACCATTCTGTCTGAACATTCTGACAATTGAGGAAACTCAGAAACATGTTGGAGCTTTAGTTGGTAGATCTTACCTGAGATGATTGCCTCCTTTTAGACTTTCTAAGCACGTTCCAAATAGAAAGTTCCCAAAACCCGCACGAAGCTCCACGGTTTGATTCACTGGGCCATTGCCATCTCCCAAATTGGCGCTTTGTGGGTCCCCAAGGTGCAAACCAAAACACTCCTTGGAACTGCATGTAAGTTAGTTTGAAGTTACTTGAAAAAAAAAGGGGGGGGGGGATATTCATACAATCCAAGAGGGCGAGCATAATTAAGAAAACCATCGTCCGTGAAGACAGGTGACGAACTACGGCCGGAGATGATAACCTATGTAAGGTGTAGCCTGGGTACAATAAACCGTTGAAACAGAAACACACACATTGAGGGGTTCCCCAAAACCATAACCTGCGTTGTTAATCATGGACCCTCCACCTGCGGCCGGGTCATAGTATGCAACTGCTTCCTTTTGCAGCGGGCCTGCCGCCGTAGGACTTGGCAAGGAAAGGGAAAATATAATAGCAACGCTGAGGGAAATGACAAGCCCAAAAACAGCCATTGTTGCCAGACGATCCGACTGTAGCGGGACGATTGATGAAGGAAACGAATGGCTTCAGAAGTAGCAGTAAAGCGGCTTTCACCAAGGTAGGCCATATTGAGGAACGTTAAAGTCTAGATCAGAATGAGCCAGCAGTCAGCCTCAAGTTGTATCCCAATTCTCCAAGTGAGGTACGAATCAAATGGGACATTTCACTAGGTGCAGTAAGTTAGCCACAAACACGGTGGAAGTGAAGCTTGCTCGCTCGAACGATACCCTATTATGTAGTATTACTCAGCGTATCGAGGCTTCGACGAATATTGCCGATTCACGTGACTTTCATTGTGAAACGGGGCATACAGATACTTTCTCAGATGCCGTTGTGTGTCCCTCAACTTGTCTAGCTTATTTTCCCTTCCTCGATATATAAATATAGTCTTTTTGTCGACCACATGAAGGCACAACCTCTCCCGGCCGTGCCTAGCGGTTTACAAGCAAATGGTCGAAGAATGTTGGTTTCCTAAATGTGGATTCTGCGTCCTGGCCCAGGGCACCGATGCGTCTAGTGCGGATTGGAAATCAGCAATTCTTAATACTAAGCAAGCAACTAGTAGTACTATACTTCTGGGTAAGTTACGCTCAGCATTCAAATGGTTCAGTTGGCATATCTACTCAAATGTGATGCAATTTATTCAAAAGCTTTTGAAATAGCTCTGTGCTTCACGCTACTGGTGGTGTGGGGACCTTTCATGTCGTACGCGAATTCTCCAGCGCTCATTGAGAGGAACTTCCTGTCCATTCCGTGAACATCGTGACTAGTACCGCATCTTGCCGGCATAACGTTAACAATATTGATGAAACATTAGCTATGCTCTAGCCTTCATTTATCGTTCGAGCCGCCGCCCCATTCCGGTCTTTGGAATTCGCCATTGCACATCCGAGCTATCCGAACGTATTTTATCGAGGTATAAATACCTGGATAAATAGGCATGAGACGCATGTGTTCCGTTGAGCCATTCTTACGCCATGTCCAAGTTTCCATCTATCTCGAAAATACTTGCCTCCTCCGACGGAACAAAGATCTATGCAGATGCGTCTGGAGACACCAGCAAACCAAGCATCATCTTCGTCCATGGACTAGGCTTGAGTGGTGCTGTGTTCGACAGGATCTTCTCGGACAAACGATACACCGAGCACTTTTATCTGGTGTGTCATAGTAATGTCGTATACTCAAGGGGAACTTCTCATTCCATTTATCTGAAGGTTCGTTATGATATGAGAGGCCATGGACGAAGCGGCAAGCCAATCACAGAGGAAGGATACGCTTCAAACCTTCTTGCGGACGACTTTGCAGCCGTCATGAAAGCATTCAACCTATACAAGCCCGTTTTCGTTGGATGGTACGTTGGCATAATACTTTATTTGTCCTGCATATCAAGCACTGACGGAACAAATTTCTTACAGGAGTTTCGGAGGTCTGTCTGTGTTTCACTTAGACATGTTACGAGCAAATAATGGATATATCTGCTTCTGAAGCGTCTATCCCTGTCGACATCGCCGCTAACTTCTCCGACAACCCTCTCGCTGGTGTCGTCTACCTCTGCAGTGTGCCATATACTGGTTCGATTGTCCAACAAATCGCAACTCCTGAAATACTCAGTTTAGTCCCGGGCCTTACTTCTGAAGACTCTGTTGTAACTGCCTTGTCCACCACACGCGAGTTTGCCGACTTGCTTTTCCTCGATGCCACGAAAATTCCGTGGGAACTGCTAGTCCTGTGGTTCGGCATGACTGGACTACAACGTCCTTTAGTCCGCCAACTCTTTATATCCCGTGAACAGGACCCGTCACGATTCTTTGAGCTCGGGAAACAAGGATTTCCACTATTTGTTCTTGGAGGAGCACACGACAAGATGTTAATGAGCAACGTCGTTGCCGATAAGATGCGTCCGTACTTCAAGAATCTAGAAGTTCATTTGATTGAGAAGGGTGGAAGCCATGCTGTCTTTTTCGAGAACCAAGATGAAACGATGGATAAAATCATAGACTTCACCCGGAGAGTCAATGGACACGAGAAGGTGTGTTTGTCATGCTTGATCTCAACTGTCTGACTTGGATCCTCATCCTTTCTTTCTCTTCTCCCAGTGACTTTACAGGGGAAATTCAGGGGCAGAAATCATGTGTATGATGGTCAATATTGTAAGTTAGCATGCTTACAATCAAATCTTTATCAGAATCGAACAAACACTACTGAACAGGCCACAATGTCAATATTAGCCTTGATTTGTTAAATCTTAAGCCTTGTGCATCACCATACTAATTTTTGAATGTAAATTACAAGCAAAGAAGGTAAAAAGGAATTGGAAACTACAATACTTTTTGAACAAACCAAGCACTGCTTGAAAATTGAGGAAATAAAAGGGATATCTTTGGAGCTACTAATACCAGCACATTGAGCTGAGAAGGGCTAGTTCACTGTTCAGTCTCAATCAGAAGCAGTCTGCAGTTAGCCTCAAAGAATCTCCTGTCCTTTGAGAAAGGACTAGGTTAAACAAGACACTTTACTTGGAGATAAATTGCCTAGACGTGTGTTCAATATGTCAGAAGTTGCAGGATGCACACATGGGGCATTTCACAATTCCTTACCTTAAAAAATAACTTA